ATGTAGGGGCGGTGAGCCTGTGGCGAGAGGCCGCAAAAGTGCGGGGGGGTTCCTCGAGACGGAGTGCTCCGGGAGCGGCCCAATCGGCCTCGGGCTGACCCTTGGGGTGGATCGGGGCGGCACGCCACGCGGCAGCGGGTTCCGGCGCGCCTCGGGCTGTCGCCGGCCCTCAGTTTGACGCTGCGCACCGAGGCGCTCGAACGTGCCTGCGTAAGCCATAGAGCGCGCGAGAGCGCGGGAGGAGCGTGGGCAGGGCTGGCGCACATGCTGGCACACCCTGTGCCCGCTCGCGGCGGCGCGAGGAGCGAGTACGGCGGAGATACTGCTGGGTATCCATGGAGACGGCCACCATGGAATTTATTAAATTCGAAGGCCAGACGGCGAGGTGCCTCCGGGACGCCTCGTCCAGAGCTCTCGACTCTTCGACCGAGCTCTGGACGATGCCGACCTCAAACCACCAGCGCCAGCAACGACGTGCCTCGGCTCGCCGCGCATCTGTTGCGACCGACGACGTGCCCGACGCCGTCCCGCGGCCGCAAGGAAGAGGCCCGCGCAACCACTTCTGGGACCCGCGGCCGCCGGGCGTGTGGCGGCACAACGAGTCGAACGAACCGTACCAGAGCAGAGCGGCGCGTCTTGCGAGCGCCCACGGCCGCCACGCCGCCGCCGTCCGCGGCCGACGGTGGTCGCGAATCAACGCGGCGCGGTGCACCGCTGCGCCTGTCCTTCCGCGCCGCTGGACGTCGGCCGAGAAGACCGCTTCCCTCTGGGGACCCGACTCCGCGAAGATCGCGCGCGCGTCGTGAGTGGCGGCGCGCGCGCGATCTCTGTTCCCGGGCACGCCGGTCGCAGTGACATGGGATCCCAGGCTCAAAAGCGCTCAACAGCGAGCTGCTCCTCCTCCTGCCGCCGCTCCGCTCACCGAGACAACTCGGTGCCGCCGTTCTCGCCGCCGCCGCCGCCGCCGCCGCCTCCGCCGCCGCCGCCGCCGCCGCCGCCGCCGCCTCGCGCCTTGCCTCCGTCACCGCCGCCCTCCATCTCGCAGCGGCGCGTCCCTCTGATGGCGCGGGCTCCTCGCTCGTTGGCGCCTCGCGCCCTCGCCGCCGCCCCGCCTCTCGCCGCCGCTCCGCTCGTGGCCGCCCCATCCCCTGTCAATCCCGCCGCCTCCCCTGCCAATCCCCCGCACCACCGCCGCCACCGCCTCGCGCGTTTAGCGGGCCTTTAAGCTTATAGGAAAAATAGGACTTAGGAGGACAGCATAAAGAATTTAGACAATACAACTCTCTCTCCTATATAAAGAAAAGAAACGCAATCGGCACTCCAAGTGCTCCAAGTGCAATGTCGAAGGTGCCACCTTTATCAACCACAAAAAAGGCCCGCGCGTGCTGCGCGGGCCCGGTGAGCGGGACTAGCGAGCCAACCTGCTAGTGTGTTAAATAGTTGTTTTTAGGTATATTGTTGGCAAATCAAGACACAGAGCTCACACAGAAAATCACACCGGGTGCACCGGAGCCCACCCAAGGGGGCCCGGGAAGGGTCACGCTGGCGCTTAGACGGCCCCTCGCGGCGCCACGGCGGTACCTTCCGGTCCGCAGGTGTTACATAGCATAAACACCGTCCGTGCAGGGCTCCTAGGCCATCACTGGGTCCACAGTGGACGGACACACAGCCTCAGCCGGCCCGGCGGGCTCCCGACCAGAGCCCGTCCGGAGGCCACAAACGGACACTCTACCGAACTTTACGCCCCTAGACAATCCACCCCGACTAGCATACGGTGTCGTCCCGACCGCCCTGCGGCCCCAGCTACCAGCTGGCGCCGCTCGGCCCGGCTGGAGGCGCCTGGGGCGCCCAAAATCGCGGAGCCGGCGACGTCCTCCGGCCAGCAGCCGGATCGGGCGTCCGACCCGCCCCCTCGGCGACCCGAGATGGTCTCCCCGACCCCCGAGGCTTGGCGCACCGCGGGAGGGGGGCGGCCCAGCCACCCTGCACCGCCCAAGCCGCCCTCTGCAAGCCCAGGCGCGCCGTAGAGAGTGCCGACGCGATGTCGACGATTTTGGCCTGCGAGACGGGGGCGAGGAGCGGTG